TCAGCCTTTACTAACACCTCCACCCAACCACTACCTTCAAGTCAGTCACCGATTGTGTTCAAGAAGGCCATCCCTATATGCAAAGCTCCCATCATCGTCACTACATTACTTTCTCCATAAAATTCAGGGTACATCCATTGAACCTGCTTCCCAAATGCATATACGGGTTGATCTGCCGTCAAGACAATTGGCTGTTGAGGATTAATCTTTAACAAAATTTGTTTTACCACTCCCATAGTGTGACGTAACATTGCCGTGGAGTTAACACTTTCATTAAGTAGGGGCAGCAACGTTGAAGTAGTTTTGATTGCACGAATTGCGGACTTCTTTGAGTGAAAACCTGACCAAGAAAATCGATTTTTAATGTCATCGTCCTTACCATTCATTTGCATCAGGTGCTCTAACCAATCATCCATTTCATCCATAGGTTGAACATCAGACGAATTTTCACGATTTACTGTCTGCAGTGGATATTCTGCTGCTTTCGATTTTGTTGGCGACAGATTTGTATACGATTCTGGAAGCTCTATTTTTGTAGATGAATCTTCAAAGTCAACACTAAGATCGATTTGATTCGGTTCCAACGCTTTTTCAAGATGCTGAAAAATGGAGATGCTGGTGCCATGAAATGATTTTGTTGCGGTAGTTGAAGAAGGGTCATGGTCAATACTGTCCACTGCAGCTGTTGTGAAAACTTCTTCTTTAAGGCTTGGAGGACAAACAAAACCGTTGTACTTCTTGCAAAGTTGTTTTGTAATATTGAGTTGTACATCCTGCACCTTTTTGTAAGAGACACTTAAACCCTTGTGCGCAAAAGTGTTCAATAAACCTTTCTTTCGGGTGTTTGCATGAATTAACAATCCGGTGAATAATGGAAAAGGTGTTTCGAGAGCTGGACTGTGTCTGAGTTTATCCAATTCATTCGCTTTGCGTCGCTTGTGCTTAACAACATTAAACAGAATCAGCTGCGAAATATTGAGGGCTATTTTGCTTTCAGCATTTGACACATTGCCCGAAATACTTGGAACCGCCAATAATCGTACTTATTAACGTGACAAGAGACCTGGGTACTGATGTATTTTGGCTTCCCTCTTCTAGTGAAAATTTCTCAGTAGCCTGAATGTGTTGATATTTTTGCCTTCTGACTATATTCGCTGCAGATGACAAACAAATTCCATCTTCTTCAAAATCCTGTTTACAAGCTTTATAAATTTGCAGATCCTACTTCATCTTTGAAGGTAAGTACAACATCTCTTCCTTTTTTACTCTCGTGCAACTCTGGGATGCGGGAGAGGATCTTTTCTTTCAAGCGTGTACTGTGAATATTTTCCATGCAAACGTCTAGGCAACCATATTCCTTTAGGCGTTGCAAATACAATGATTTTAAGTCACTCAATTTAAACACTGGGATGGTTTCTGTAGACGCTTTATAATTTTTTAAGTAATCCAAAATCTCTGCAAGAACTACTGCCCTCGATGATAGCATTCTCAGAGTCTGCTTTACGTTTGGTAGTTTGTAAATCGCGTAGCCTCTTGTAAAGAGCAGAAAGACATGATTTATGGTAAAGAGCTTCTACTGCTATCATATCACCCTCACTCAACTTGGCTAAAAGCATTTCATCACAAAGATGATTGGCTGCATTACGCACTTTTCTGTCAAGCTCGAATGTCTGCGCTTTGGTTAGGTTTTCGGCTGAGTCTTCTTTATCACAAAAGAAACATTTTGGTTGAAAATTTTGGGCTGTGTACCGTGCTCTTGTGTTTGGTGGTAAAACAGTATCTGAGACGCTTTTACAGGATAGTTTTCTTTTCTTTGAAGCCCTATGGTAGTGTTGTTTGTCGTATTTATTTCTGCATTTTTTATGAAATTTGGCTTTGTTGCTGACAAACCTTTCAAGTAAATCATTGCAGCTCAAGTAGTTAACTCTAGAAGATATACTGATAGGTAATTCACCAATCGTTTCAAACTGTTTAAGCTGCTGGACCAAGGTAAGGTAGCCAGTAGATTTATCTGCACGGGTACTGTTCGTTGCTGGGCAGACAAGTTGCTTTTCCGACGGTTCTTGGCAGATGAAACACAACTCAAAATTTGAATCCTGGTTCGTTGATATCCTGACACTAGCTGTATCAAAATCAGCCACTGCATCTAACAATGTAAACTTTTTCTCCGACATCTTGATATTTTTTCATAATTTAATATGAAAAAGTTTCCCTAGCTCACGATACATAACATCAAATTTGAATGAAATTGCATTGTGCTTTCTGTGATAAACGTTTTACTTTTCTAAATTTACACAAAATACTGTTCATAGCTTTAGATTTTAACGAAAATATCACTTCAATTTACACAGCCAGGTTTTGCTTTCACTCTCACCATGACAAAAATGAGAAGAGAGCTGGATTCTAGCTCCCAGTCCCAAATAGAGTTACGGCTCTAGGTACCTGGAACCTAGTTCACAATTTGTTCGAACTTCATCATTTTAAGCATATATACAGTATTAACTACAAATGCTTATGTAAAATTGTAAATCAAATATGATGTCGGTTCATAATTTGCAATGAAGTTATATCAAAATAATGTTAGAGGCATGGGAACTGTTCCCAGTCTAAACTGTTTTACGGCCATGTTCGAACTATAATATTTTTCAGCATGTGGTACTGCCTATCAATGTGAAGTTTCACGTCGGTATCACTATTTGTGACGAAGTTATTGGAGGCCTGGAACTAATTCCCAGTTTAAACTGTATACAGGGTGTATCAAAAAAAGCGCAATCCTCGACTGAAATGTAAATTGCTAAACAAATAATAGACGAAAACGTTAAAATTTACATTCATTTCAAAGCGTAGCCATTCGGCTTTCTAACAGTGGGTTGTTTCTTAAATTTGACTCATTGGTTTGCGGATAATAATACTTTACGTTGTTGCGATTGGAGATTAAAAAAATTGAGATGGAATAACGAATCGCTCTCATGAAAATAACTGATTTTTTCATTAAAACAAAAAAATGTTGCATTTTATTAAATGGATTGTAACAATTAATTATAATTACGGCTTTTCTTCCACTATTTCTAACTCAGTTTGAAACGTCAAATGCGATATAATTTTGGCTTGGACCATCTAAGCTGACTGACATCAACTTGCTATAATTTCTGTTTACATTACATCGCAATTCGATGACACTCTGGCTCAGACACCAGAATGTTTTGACGATTTTTAGCATTCGTTTAGGATTTTCAAACAACCTGGTCTCTTTTAAAATACTTTTAATTTGTTCTTACGTGGTTTTCCAGATGTAGTGACGACAACATTAAGTTTAAAGAAGAAAATTCTAACATTTAAACCGACTAAACAATAACATAGTAAACTTGCATAATTAAACAGCAACTAAAAATGATAGGTTTTACTAAATCTTTTCCTGTGCAATTATTACTAGCATTGGAGACAAGGATAATGGTTTGTTTGAAAGAGAAAAGAACAGGCTTTGAAGTAAGCCTAAAAGCGTTTAACTAGAAATAGTATTTCGAAAGTTATTAAGCACAAAAGATGAATTGCGTTTATTTTGATACACCCTGTATAGCGTAATTATTCGCTATCTTTTTTAATGTTATATTTTTCAGCATGTTAAATTGTCCCTAAACGCGAAGTTTGAAGTCAGTACAACAATTTGTGGTGAAGTTATCGCAAGATCAATTTTAGTAGCTTGGGAACTAGTGTCCAGTCTCGAAACAGCAAAAGGGGTCATTTTTGAGGTCATTGTGTCCACATCTTATCTTTCAGCGTATCAAATTACCTATCTTCCCAAATTTTCATGCTGGTATCATAATTTGCATGCTTCTCGTATATTTTTGTGTTAAGCTCCCTCACTAATAACTTGTATTCTTATTCCTTAGGCTGATTTATATTACAAAATACCGTTCGTTTTACGTTTCCCGCCTGAGCCACCAATTGTTACGTTTACCGTAACAAGAAAGGCTTAAAGGGACACTCCACCCCCAGAACAAGTGTCGCTCATAAGAAAGCTTTATATGAGCCTACCTTGGAATGAATATTTGTTCGCCTCAATTCTTTTATGTTTGCGAGAAATTTAACTTTGTTTCACTGATTTTTGGTCCATTATCGCCGCCATGTTTGTTGAATCCGCGGGTGGTCCTATGAGTGCCGTGACGTATAAGTGTGTGATAGAAACAAATTGTATAATCAGAATTGTATAAATATTTTTTAACCGAAGATGCCTCATTGCATGGTTCCTGAGTGTACTAACAACTCACGGAAAACTGTGGGAATCAGCTACCACAGAATTCCAAAAGAAAAAGGTTTGCGAGAAGCGTGGTTGGCGAGAATTCGCAGAGTAAACCCACGCGATATAAGTAATTAATGTGTTTGTTCGGCGCATTTTACACCAGACTGCTTCGAAAGAACGCTCGATCTTGTGCCTGGCTACCAAAAAAGGCCAAAGCTAAAATCAGACGCAGTGCCATCTATATTTCCGCGCAGTAAGCCAGAAAAAGCTAGAAGCACAGGGCGAAGAAGAAATCAAATCCGCTCTGAACAAGCCAGACAAGAGGTATTAAGCCATGAACGCTTACATGTATTTTTAGTATAAAAAACTTGTACATTATGTAATTATTTTGTAGCTTTCATATTGTGACAGAATTAACTTTCTGAACATTTGTACGTTATTAGACACAAATAAAGCATAAACACTTCAATATATATATATATATATATATATATATATATATATATATATATATATATATATATATATATATATATATATATATATA